CTTACCTAGAGGATCCTGATCTTTAACTCAGACGATGAGTTATGCACATGTGAGTGAGAGGTGTGAGGGCAGGGTTTTCAGTGGGGTGGAGCCTGGGGGTCTTAAAGGGTCCAGTGAGGGGTGACTTTGATTTCAGAGGTCCCAGGGAACTGGGCAGCCTCACAGCAGGGGTCTAAGGGCATCTGAGAGGAGTCTGTGTTTCTCCCATTAGTGCGCTCATCAAACTGATGGGTCATTGCCATTGGGTGTCCTGCCTCCTCAACTGGCCTAGGAGCTCAAGAAGGCCAGAGTGAGAGAGGCACGTTTACTTCGGACCTGACCCAGTACCTGGCACAGAGTAGGCACTCAGTGCACTTTTGTGGAAGGAAGGAAAGAAGGGAGGGAGGGAGACAGGGAGATAGGGAGGAAGGGAGGGAGGGAAGGAGAAAGGGAGGGAGAGAGGGAGAAGGCTGGCTGCCTAAGACTCTGATCCTGATTCTGCCACTGTAATCTTGGACAAATGTGGTACGCTGTGAACAGCACAGGCCTTGGGGACAGGCAGACCTAGGTTTAGTCTCAAGTCCACCACTAGCTCTGAGTCTTGAGTAAGTCGCTCACCTCTCTGACCCTCAGTTTTCTCATCTGTAAAATGGAGATAATAATAAAATCACTTCACATTATCACAAGAAGCTTGTGAAGAGGGCACAATAAATGTAGCAATCAGCATTTGTTATGATTATCAATCTTATTATTGTCTGCTGTTATTGCCATAGCCGCCTCATCTGGCAATGTGCTGGTTGGCCAAGTGCCTTTCCCCCCATTTTCCTCAGGCTCTGAGGCTCCCACCTGGCTGTTCCTTGGAAGTATTAGAACCTTGGTGTCCGTTCCCTTGAATGCCCTTTGCAATGCTCCTGCAGGCATGGGCTGGGTCATCTTGAGGAAGCTGGGAGCTGCTGGCCAGTCTGACCATCCAAGGCAGACAGAAACAAGGGAGGAAAAGAAAGAGGGAGAGAGAAGGAAGGCCTGGAGAGTGCAGGGAGGCCTGACTCCTGCTGTGGATCTGCCTTAAAGGTGTCAAACCCCAACCCTGCCAGGCAGAAAAGCAAGGAGGAACTCCTGCCCTCAAAAGGCAAAGCAAGAGACCGCAGTCGTTGGAGGAGAGGTACATGGTTTCAGGCTCCATGTGATTCCAACTTGGGCCTGGCTGTCAGGAGGTGCGGATTCCACCACTGGCTGTTCCCCTAACTCACTGTCATTTTCCCCTCTGTGCCTCAGTTTCTCAGTCTGTCAAGTGGACATAACACCTATCCTGGGTGGCTCACAGTCTGCTGAGAGGAACAGATAAGATGGTAAGAGTGATTTGGAAAATGTGAAGACCTAGGCAGACTTGTTGGTAGTTAAGAACTCAGACCATGTTCTCAGAGTTGAATGGGTTATGCTTCCTGGCTGGGCTGTTGGGGCAAGTCGCTTCCCCTGTCTGGGCCTTAGTTTTCCCCATGTGTGAAATGGGGATACAATAATCCCTTTATAGGATTCTCGGGAAGAATACACGTGTGAAAGGCTCAAAACGGGAGCAATAATGGCCACTACTCTCCCCTTCCACCCACAGTCATATCTTTTGTGGTTATTTACAGCCATTCCAAAGCTCAGTGAGAGGTTACGCTTGGTTCCATAAGGATTGAGCAAGTCCAAGCATCAGCATTAGCACCGGATGTTTGAAGAGCCTTATGGTCTTTTACATCCATTTTCTCTTGTTAGGAAAAGCAAACAAAGGAATGAGCAGTTGAGCTTCACCGCCCACCACTCCACCCCAACATGTGGTTTCAGCTCAACAAGTTCAGACCTGTGTTTTTTCCCAACTGTCACTGGTGCTATGATCTTTTTAAGTAGACTTTGCTTAGCCTCAAATCCCAAATTCAACAGTAGTGGAAAAGGCTTAGCAAGGCTCTGTGGTCTGTTCCTGCCCTCCCTTCTCCTGTGCGCAGGCCCAACAGCGAAGGGAAACGTGGGCCGTTGATAGAATGATTCTGACCATCCAAGGCAGGTAGAAAAGAAAGAGGGAGAGAGAAGGAAGGCCTGGAGAGTGCAGGGAGGCCTGACTCCTGCTGTGGATCTGCCTTAAAGGTGTCAAACCCCAACCCTGCCAGGCAGAAAAGCAAGGAGGGACTCCTGCCCTCAAAAGGCAAAGCAAGAGACTGCAGTCGTTGGAGGAGAGGTACATGGTTTCAGGCTCCATGTGATTCCAACTTGGGCCTGGCTGTCAGGAGGTGCGGATTCCACCATTGGCTGTTCCCCTAACTCGCTATATGATCCCGCTGTATGACCCTACCTCTCCTGCTCTTACCCTGGAATCTTAGGTTATTTGGGTTTTATTGCTAATCCCAGAAACAAGCTCAATTTTTAAAACATATTTTCTTTTTGCATCAACTATGCCCCCCCACCTTCTCAACCATCAGCTCTATCACTTCCCATATTCATGACCGCACTCAACCCCATCATCTCCACCACCTTCATCACCTTGACCAACTTCACCCCACCCTGTCACCACCAGCCCACCACCTCCATCACCTCACTCGGATCTACCACCTCCATCCCCCATCACCTTGACCAGCTCCACCCCCTCCATCATCTCAAATCCATTTCTACCACATCTACCAATTCTACCACCTCCACCCCCTCCACCACCAACAACCGTATCACATCTTCTATCTTCACCATGATTTCCACAGCTACTTCTATCACCTTAGCTCCTCCACCTACAACACCATATCTCCCACATCCACTATCACTTCCATCATCACCTTTCCATCGCCATCTCTAACATCTCCAGGCAGGGATATATAAAGTTTATTAAGAACCCACATAACACAAATTCTGCCATCGATTTTCTATTCCAGAGGTACAAGTATTTCTCCACAAAAGGTTGGAGGCTTAAAGACCCTGGTGGCTCAGAGATGAATAGGTCATTTTTAAAAGAATAAAATTCAATTCCTGATTTAGGGAAACTGAGGTACACCCTAGACCCTTGCCTGTAAGTGTGCATAATCTAATTCCATACTGTAGGCATCAAGAGATGAAAATAAAACAAAACAAATCCTGCAAACCTGGTTAGGTGTATGCAAGTGCTTGGAGAGTGCGAAACACTATGTAAGATTTTTCATAAAGATGGGGATAAAAGAGTTTAACAGACTCTGGAGGCTTTCCACATTACTTAACTGAAAGTCATTCATTCCCATCTTCAGTATGTGTGCATTAAATACCTTCTGTGTGCCAGGCATCACCTGGTTCATGGAACAATTCAAACCAGACCTTCATGTGTGTCATATATTTTGAGTGAGCACCTAATATGCACCAGGAGTTCTGCTGGGTGCAAGCCCCCAGACATCCTGCAACCTACCAATCTTCCAATAACGTATTAGTAAGGAGACAGAGAAGCCAGGGATTAAGTTCTCACCCCAGTGAAAGCCCGGGGAAAACTGGGATGTCTTTTCCCTACTTCTGTGTCCTTTAGCAGCACATCTGGCCAAAAAGAAATGAGGTGGGTTATCTAGGGCAGTGTTTCTCCAACGGTGATGTGTCTACAGATCATCTGGAGAGCTTGTTAAAATGCAGATTCTGGTTCAGTGGGTTTTGGGGTGGGGCTTGAGGTTCTTCATTTCTAACAAGCCCCTGAGTGATGCTGATGCTTAGAGCCGAGAGGTGTTTCGTCTGTGCAAATATCTGGTTATCTAGGACCTGACAGAAGGAAGCCCTTGGTATGGCCATCAGAGCACCTCTCATCTGGTCCTCTGTACCTCATATTGGACATTCCCACCCTCTATTTCCCCAGCCAACCTCCTCAGGCTCCTTTAACAGGCCATGCCTTTTCACACCTCTAAGTCTTTGCCCAAGCTATTCCCGCTACCTGAAAGGCCTTTCCTTTACTTGAACCCTCTGCACTCTACCGCCACCTCAGAGTTCCCACAAGCTCCTGTGCATGCCTGTCCCCATCCCAGCACTTGTCCCGGGAACCAGACTATCTGCCTATGTTTGTGTGGACAATCAGGTGGGAGCTCGAAGTGGAAGGTTGGTGGGGTTCATCCATGTTGCCCAGCACCGGGGGTTGGTGCTGGCCAGTGTGCTGAGCCAACAAAGACAGGCTCCTCATCAACCAGGTCTCCCTTTCAACATCACCTCCCCAGGGAGGCCTTCCTTGATCACCAGTTCTCTACTCGAGTGTTTCTCAATGTTTCTCAAACTTCGGCTTGCATCAGAAGGACTTAGGGGTTTGTTAAACACAGGACTTCTGATTCAGTAAGTCTAGGGAGGGTGCCGAGAATTTGCATGTTTAACAATTCCCATGCTGATCCGCACACTTTTGAGAGCCACTGCTTTGCCCTATTACCCCAGTTTATCTCCCTCAAGGCACTTATCACTCTCTGAAATGATATTTATTGCTTATTTGTCTTGTGTCTCCAGTGACCTTCTCTCATCTAAGTTCCATGAGGGCAACAATTTGGGGCTGTCTTGTTGGGCGCTCAGCATAGCGCCTGGTGTAGGACTGAATGATGCCTGTGGTTCACAATAAAGATGGACGGTCCGTTTGGCAGAGGGACGAGGAAGTCCCCAGAAGCCCAACTAGCCGGCTCCGATGCTGGTTCCTCGTACCTCACGCGGCTCTCCGCGTCCCCACGGCCACGGCCCCTTTAAATGTGCACGGAGACGCCTCGCCCCTCGGCTCCCTCAATCCCTGACAGAGCAGAAAGGAGAGGGGGAAAAAAAGCCTTCCTCTTAGCGAGCGGGAGGAAACGTCTAAGAGGGGGCGGTGGCGCGGCAGCCGCCGAGGCAGCGCGGGCAGAGGCGCGGCGGGCAGAGCGCAGCGCGCCCCGCGCGGAGCCGGGAGCCAGGAGCGGACGCGACACCGCGCGCTTCCCGGGCCACCGCCCCCACGCGCGGCGCGCTCGCGCCCCCTCCCCGCCCTTCTCCTCCCCCGCCCCGCCCAGCCCCCCGAGGCTCGCGTCCTGCGCCCCCACTGGCCCTGCGCCCCGCTGGGAGTCCGGCGCGCGCCGGGGGGCGGGGCGGGCGCCAGGGGGTGCGGGCCCCGCAGGGCGGCCATGGAGTGAGACGGCGCGCGGACTCGCGCTCGGACGGAAGGACTGACTGACCGACGGGCGGCCCCGGGCTCCGTGCGCTGGAAGATGAACAGAGCAGGTAGGAGACTCCGCACGACCTCGGGCGCCGGGAAATACGCGCGAGGGGGCCCCGTCCAGGCGCTCCAAGTTGGAGCCCGCGGGGCGCCTGGAACGACGGCCGAGAATCCCCCGACCTTCCCACTGTGCTGGCTTCGGTCGAGATATGGGCGGGTCCGGAGTCCCCTCACGAAGGAAACTGGGAATCATTTGGGGCCCTTGGCCGAGTCTCCCCACCTCAGGGACGCCCCCTCAGTCACGGTGAGGCCGCCACCTGGCCATGTCCGCCCTCATCCCACTCTCACCGCGGCACCCAGAATTGAGGGCACCTTCGGCAACAGAGAAGGACGCCCCCTTCGCAGAGGCCACTTGGTTGCGCCCCTACACCCTCATCCGGGCCCTCCGGGTCCCGGCCAGATCCTTGCTGGCCCCTCACGGACCCCACCTGGCACAGGGGATCCGTCCAGTCTCTCCACACCAGGGTCTATTCCTGCGCCTTCAGCACCCGGCGGCGCACCCTTAGAGGATTACTGCTTCCCGTCTCTCTCCCCAGATCCCGAGACTTGGAGCTTACTCTCGGGATAGGACTAAAAAGCCCTAAATCGTTTCCCCCTCAGCGAACCCCTCCGTCGTTGTGCCCTGGCCCGGGCCCTCTTTGTGCCTCCCTCAGGGGACCGAATGCCAAGGGGACAGTTCTCGCCGACGCTGCTGCACGCCAGCCGTCCCCTCCCGCACCTCGTGTCTCTGCCTGGTGAATCTGACTCGCCAGTTCCAGGATTCCGTGCAATCCCGAAAGTGTTTGACGGCAGATATTAGCAATCTCGCCAGAGGAGTGCCATTTAACAGATTTAGTGACTGAGACTCAGAGCTAGGCGGTGCCTGGAGCCCCGTTCCCGGGATTCCTGACTGCATCCGCAGGGAGGGCAGAAAGTTCCCTCAAAGAGGAGAGTTTGCAAGGGAACAGTCCCAGCTAACTTCATCTGCCTGCCAAGGGGCGACCGTCACTTTTTTCCCCTAGAATTTAGCACAAGACAGCCCTCTCCCCAACCAACACCCTTGTCTGAAGCCATACTCCGAAACACACATCCCTAAAGAAACAGGAAGCCACCATTTTGGCTGTCTTAGAACCATATCCTGCTGCTGCTGCTGCTGCTGCTGCTGCTGCTGCTGCTGGTGTGTGTGTGTGTGTGTGTGTGTGTGTGTGTGTGTGTGTGTGTGTGTGTGTGTGTGTGTGTGTGTGTGTGTGGTGGGCTTTTTTCTTTCTAAAATATTTTTAATGAAAAAAGTCATTGTCTTAGGAGTGAGGTGCAGACAGGAGACATTGGTTGGACTGATCTGAAAAAGGAGCCACTTGGGGACTTGGGAGTGTGGCAGTTGCCTCTCTGTGTCCAGGCCCCGTTGTTGCTGGGCATGTGGCTACCTAGACAGTTAGAGTGTGGCTCACACGATAGTGGGGAGGTAGGAGGCGGGGTGCCACTTTGTGGTACTGGGAAAGGCTGGAGCGGCTCCCAGTACCCAGCCAGCCACTCCGTGGAGGAAGAAGGTCGCCTCCTGCCTATTCTGGCACAGCCTGGACAGAGCCAGGCTAGCTTTTTCCTACACTCCTAATAAAACTCGTTTTAAAACAATGGTGAGAGCGGTTCCAGCTTTCCCACGTTATCCTGCATGAGGCTAGGGCAGCCCTTCCTTCTCTGAGAATCTGGGGGATGGAGTGAGCCAGAATAAACAGAGAGGACAGTTTGGTCCCAGGAAATCTCAGCGGTTGCTGCGCTTGGGCTCAGCCCTCTTATAATTTGTCTCCAGCATAAACCTGGTTCCTTTTTTCTGTGTGGTGGCAATGATAAAAACCTCACATAATGATTTCTGTGTGCCAGACTCTGAAATCCCTGATCCTGTAGCATAATGGTTCACAGACTCCATAGGACTGAATCTCAGAACCACCATATACTCAGTTATGTGACCGTGTGCAGGTTACTTAACCTCTCTGAGCCTCAGTTTCTTCATGTGAAAAGTGGGGATAATGAGGTCTTGGTCATTGAGTTTTCAGGATTCAATAAAATAAAGCACGTAAGGCATCTGGAATAATGTCTTTCACATTCTAAGTGACCAATAAATACCAGCTAGTATTTATTGAATGCTTACTTACTAGGTAGACAACTATGTAGGCAAAGATGTTGCCTTTAAGTGTTTTACTTGTATCAATTTAGCTTTCACAGTGACCTGATGAGGTAAGTAAGTACTCTTGCTATCTCTATTTTATAAATGAAAAAACTGAGCTGCAGGGATTTAATGGTCACTGACTTAATGGGGAGCGGAGACAGGATTGAAACAGACTGTCCAGCTTGAGAGGCTGCTTTTTTATCAAATGCCTAACACATAGTAGGTATACAGGCAATGTTTGCCAGTTGATTTTGTTAGTCATCCTATATGTCTGTTATTTCCTTTGAACTTCTCAACAGCCTTAAGATAAAAGAGGGTATTTCTTTCATGTTACCAAGAAAGAAACTGAGGCTCAGAGAGGCAAAGTCACTTGCAAGGTCACACAGCTGATGGGTGGCAGAGCTGGGATTGGAGTCCACGTCTGTCTGAGCCTGGGGCCCATGTTCTTCCCACTGTGTCCCATGCTGTCTTCCAAGTAAGTGCCCTGTTGTGGATCACTGGACTAGTTTAGCAGCAGCCTAATTAGAAATCATCAGGCTTGGCGTGGACATTCCAGCAAGCACCCAGGAATGAAAGTTAAATTAAGATGCAATTGGAAGGTGAAATTGGAAGATAATTACTCTTGGAACATATGGTTATGAGAGTTCCAGGGGGAGCAGAGTGAACTGCAGTTGAAACAGACTTGGGGACTGAAGACAGGGATGTCAGGGGACATCATGAGACGAGCTGTGAGTTTTAATAGGCTGTAGTCGGCCAGAGCAGAAGGTACTTACTGACTGGTGCAGTCCCTTTGCTCTACCGATGGGAAAACTGAGGCTCAGGGAGGAGAAAGGACTTACCCAAGGTCATACCTTCAATTAAGGGCTGAGCCTGTGGTGGAGATCAGAGCTTTTGACTCCCAGTCCAGTGCTCCTTCCAATATCCCTTCTAATTGAACCTCTACCTAGCTGACAAGAGAGCAGCAAGCATGAATGTGTGAGTGACAGATATTTAATTAAAATAGAGAAAGAAAATATAAACTGGTACCAGAGGCTGGCTGGGATGATTTCTATCACCAGAAGCTGTTAAAAATCTCTTTCTCCTGTCACTGGGGTTACACCCCCACACACACCGCCCCTAGTTAACTCTTAGCATCTTGGCTTGAAGGATATTTGCATTCAAGTCATCCTGAGATATAGCAAATTTCCAGGAGGTCCTGGCATTGATAACTCAGGCTCTGTGATACAGAGAAAGAAAAGGTTCATGTAGCAGGCAGAGGGAGTCTGGAGACAGCAGAGGGTCCATCAGCTCCATCCATACTGGGCTCTGGACAGTCAGAAAGTTAACTTTAACCCAGAAGAGGAACCCCAGCTCTGATTTATCCTGTAATCCCACTGTTCCCACCATACTCAAGCTCAGCTAAAGTGGACTCCACCATACTCGCAAAGGGCTTTGCATCTAACTGCCTCTGGGCTTCTGCACACTGTTCCCTCTACCTGGAATACTCAGCCTTCTTTTCGATTGTGAAATCCTCTCTGTCCTTCAGTGTGCAGCCCTGAGCCTTCTCTAGGCAGAGTGGGTCTGAGACCCAGATAACTGTGCTGAGGGCAGGAGCTCTATCTGGTTCCTGTTTGTGAAGGAGGCAGGGAGGGAGCAGAGCTGGAAACCCTCACCTCCCTTTATTTTCTTCGCTCCCTCCTCGGTCTCCTTTGCTGGCTTCTTGTCTCTCCCTCCTTGGCTCTGCTCTTTTCTCGGTCCATACTCCTTCGCTTGCTGATCTCACCAGGGTCATGCCTTACATTTCATCTCTGTGATGGATACCTCCAGCCAGACCTATCCCCAGAACCCAGACTGGAATACTCAGGGGCCCGCTTGACATCTCCACCAAGGTGTGTGATAAGTAACTCGAACCTGACATGTGCAAATTGAAGTTCTGGCTTCCCTCCCCAGCACCTACAAGCTTCCCCAGTTCAGTTGGTGGCAACATCACTTTTCCAATTGCTCTGACTCAAAACCTTGGTGTGGTCCTTCACTTCGCTCTTTCTCTTACACCCCATATCCAGACTATCTGCATACCCCACCAGCTCTACCTTCATGTTTGGATTCTGACTTTTTTTCACCACTTCTGCTGCTGCCAAGCGGGTCCAAGCCTCCATCATCTTTTGCCTGGATTATTGCAAGAGCCTCCTCACTGATCTCCCTGCATCCATCTTCCCCACTTGTACTTATTTCAACACATTAGCCAGAATGTGCATGTCCTTCTGCTCAAGCCCCTTCATAATCTACACTCTCCCTATGACCTTTCTGACCTCATCCCTGCTTTTCCTTCTCGCTTCCCCATTCCCCTGCAGCCTCTCTGGCCTCCTTGAACATGCCAGGTGAGTCCTGGACTCCCTCTCCTCTTTCAAATCTTGGCTGTAATGTCGCCTCATTGACACCTATCCTGTTCACCCTGTGTAAAATTGCAAAATCCCCAAACTCCTAATCTTTCTCCATAGACTTTATGATCATCTAACATACGATATGTAAAATACTTACCTTTTTGTTGCTTATCTCCCACCACTAGAATATAAGGTCCATGAGGGACAGGGTGTTTGTTTTGTTTATTGGTGTATCCAGAGATTATAGATGAGTGCCTGGCACATAGTGGGAGCTCAATAAATACCTATTTAATGAAATAGGGTTAAAGGAAGTTGGATGGGAGCAAATGAAAGTCAGCCACCCATCTTATGGTCAGTACTTCTGAGCTCATTGAAGGATGTAAATTTCTCACTGGGCCAGCTGTCCCTGGTCTCTTGGCCTCAGTTTCCCTGCATTTTCTTTTCTCTGCATCACTAGAAGGGAGTGCTGAGTCTCCACTATAGAGGAAATTTCAGTGGCCAAAGGTTCAAGGCAGAGGTTCAAGTGACTGCAGCAGGAAACCCACACTCTACCTGGGTCCTGCCCCAGGCTTTCTGACTGACTGCTGTCTGTGCCTCAGTTTTCTCATCCTTCAGTGAGGGGTCAGACAGGGCCTTTCCGATTCTGGCGTCTTTTGATCTCAGAGCAGATGCAGGTGAAACTCCCTGAGCATCAGAGCTGGAAGCAGAGCATGGACGCTGCGAGCCTGTCATTCCTAGGGGCTCTGTGGGGAAGACATTTTCTTGCAGGATCACGCCTCAGATGCCCACTGTAACCTTTCCCGAAGAGATGGCACCCACAGATCAATAGCTTGATTGGATGAAGGATGGGGTGGGGGTGGGGGGCGATACAGCCAAGGTGACGGTCGTTTTTCATAGCCCTTCTGTCCCTCTGTCAGGTCTCATGGCGCCCATACGAAATACCACCTGTTAAGGATGAGAAATGAGACTCCCCACCCCCCAAAGAATAATTTCATGAAAAGCCTGACACTGGATGTTGAGCGCGTGAAGCTAATATTACATAATATATAAATATAGAGCAAGACTTATACCAGGGGGCAGATGTGGGGTAAACAAAGACTGGCTTAATTAGAATAACAATAGCTACTGTTTATTGAGTACTCCTATGTGAAGGCCTGCTACTAAGCACTTTTAATATATTGGGTTGTCGGAAAAGTCATGATGCATTTTTGCAACGAAAAACATAGAAAAAAACACATCATGACTTTTCCGACAACCCAATATATCTTTTAATCTTCACAACAGCCCCTTGAGAGTAGGTACTACTGTTGTACCCATTTTACACATACGAGAACTGAGGCTCAGTTTCATCGTTTATAAGTGGCAAAGCCAGATTTTGAACTCAGGTCAGCCAGGCTCCAAAGACTCACTCTGTTAGTCCACATTGAGCTTAGCTGTTTAAGCTCCAAATTTGGGTTTTTTGTGTTTTTTTGCTAATCTGGACAGATGTGTTTCTAACCAAGTACATACTTAATTGCTTGTGGAAATAAGGAGTTGGGAAGTCATATATTACATCTTGAGGACTCTGGATTATCTGGATGTCAGTGGCAGGCCTGAACATTGATGCAGATGAATATGGGTGTGGGTTAAGAGGCTGATAGAGTGGTATGTTAGCCGTGGGTACTTTGACAGCTATGCCTCTTCTCTCCTTTTCCTGCTGTCAGCTACCATGTCTTACAGCTGGCAGTGTTCCTGCTCTAACCTATCCCCAACCCCTTCTAATTAGCTGTGCACTGGGAAATCAGACAGCCAAGTTCATTAGATGTATGTGCAAAGCACAAGTAAAGAGGTTTTGAAATGCGGCCCTTTTAGAAACAGAGTGCAGGGGCTTCGTAACCCTGTATTATTTCTACTCCAGTCCTTTTCTTCTTTCCTTTGGGGCCACAGTTGACTTTTACATAGTCCTGCCAGTTTGGGAGATCATATTGACTTTGGTTTCAGACATCCTGAAATTGAGGTGCCAATGGGACAGTCCTATGGAGATGTCTCAAATCAGCTAGAGCTGTGCTGACCAGCACCATAGCCACCAGCCATGCGTGGTTAATGAGCACTTGAAGTGTGGCTAGTCTGATGTGTGATGTCCTGTATGTGTAAAAAACACTTAGTTCAAAAGAGAATGTCAAATATCTCATCAATAAATTTTGTGTATCAGCTACGTGTTGATCCAAATACGATTCACTGATTACATGATAATACTCATAATAGTAATAGTTTGGATATATTGAGTTTAAAAACTGTATCATTAAAATTAATTTCATCAGTTTCTTTTTTACTTTTTAATGTGGCTATGAGAACATTAAAAGTTACACATGTGGTGATAAATGTGGCTCACGTTATATTTCTGTCAGACAGCCCTGGTTTAGATCGACTGGGGTTAGATGCTGCAAGGATTTATCTAGCAGTCAAATGCATGCAGAGGAGAAGAGTTTGTTGACAGATCTCCAGGTCCTCTGCTCCACCTTCCTTCTGTCACAGCCATGCTGGCACTCTGAGGCTGCTGTCTGTCAAACCAAAGCCTTACTGGGGATGGAACTGGGAGATGAGATTGGGCTGAAGGGAGACTTGTCCATCCTGATCCATGGGCAGTGGGGAGCCAGGCAGCACTTATGAAGTGGAGATGTCAGGATGGGGTTGGATTTCTGGAAATCTGCCTTCCTGCCTCTGTTCACAGTGTAGCCAGAGGCTCAGAGGTGCAGGCAGGAGGTGTGGAGGTGTGGGCTGGCTTGTGGCAGGAGAGATGCCGAACTTGGAAGTGGGCAACTACTCCCTGGACCCTTCTGCTTGTCAAGGTGCCTCCCATCCTGCAAAATTTAGCCAAAATCTCACCTTCTCCAAGAGGTCTTCCCTAGCCATGGCAACTGTTGCTTCTCAAACTCCTGTAGCATATCGTACTGCATCTTTTGTTCTGCCATGGTCAGTAGGTCCTCACCATCCACAAGGGAAGAGGCCTTTTGCAAATATCCATATAATTTCTCCCATGAAATCAAAATGCAGGGCACTTAGTCTTAAAGCATGTAAAATTCAGAGGTGACCCTCAGAAGAATCATACATCACTGTCACAAACCTTTAATGTATCACTCTTGAAGGAATGAGATAATGGCTATTCATTCATAATATTCCAAGGGCCTACGGCTCTGTCCTCCAATTGTTCTGTCGGCCTTGTCTCCCTAACTCAACTGTGAGTGGTCAGCAGGGGTGTTCTTCTCTTCTTGACCCTAGAAGACCCTGTCATCTATAGTGCTATGTGTATAGTTGCAGGCATCCAGCAAATTAACTGTAGAATGACTATAAGCTCCATGAGTGCAGCAGCATGGTGACTGTCAAGTTCAGCATTGTCTCCTGGATACCTGACACATAGAAAAGCATTTAATGAATGAGTGCGATGATCTGCACACCTTTATTTGAGGAGTACAAGATGTCATTTGGTTGTGTTGTGTTAGCTGGACTGTGTACAGAAGAAAGGTACAGTTACTTTGTTTATGGAATGAATCCTTAGTGGAAACTTAAGGGATTTTAAGGATGATGATGGAGATATAAACCTAAGACAGAACATAGTAGATTGGGTTCACATGTGTTGGGAAACCAACCGTCTTCAGTGTTCTCTTGAAAATGGTAAATAGGAGTGGAAATAAAGGTAACTATACTTTTTATCTCCTTTTCTCTATTTTAATCCTTTAGATTCACCAAAACCACCAGTTGCTCCCAAGCCAAAGACTGCCAATCCCCTCACACCCGTGACGGCACCCAAATTCCCTTCGTCACCCCGGCCTGACAGTCTTCATAGTCCCAACTCCATGTCGAGGGGGCCAAAACCCCCCATCGCCCCTAAGCCCAGGCTGGATACCCCCAACGAGTGGAGGGCCAGCGTGTATATGATCAACAGCTTGAACAAATGCAGCAATGGAAAGCTGCTCTGTGTAGACAGGGGGCTTTACGAAGAGCAGCAGTCCAACCTGGAGGGCTCCGAGGCTGAGGCCGACGAGGATTACATCGTGGTCCCCAGGGCTCCACCGGCAGAGGGCGAACCCGGGGATGGGGACTCTGTGGAGAATGCAGTCACGGTGGCTGCGGATGCCACTCGGGAAGAGGAACACCAGGAGGGAGGTGAGGAGGAGGGGGCAGGAGCTGCTGAGGATGTGGCAGCCCCAGCCGAAGTGGCGTTGAGTGGAGAGGGCGACCAAGGTGTAGCCCCCACTCCTGAGAACGTGGCGGCAGATGACTGTGCCCCAGACCCAGGGACCGAGGAGCAGAAGCTCACAGGTGAGGAGGAAGAGACGCTGGTGGAAGAGCACAACATACACAACCTGGAGGACAGGGGCCCTTGGGATGGGGAGGCAGTCTTTCCAAGCGATATCATTCTGTCTCAAGTCAACTTAGAGGATCCAGCAGCTCCTGGTGAGGAGCCTGGGCCCCCGGGGACACCCAGGGAGGCAGAGGAGGATGGTGAGGAAGGCTGTGCCAATGCAGAACCAGGGACACCAGACGAGTGCCCGGATTCCGACAGGCCTGCCGACGGGGGTGCTGAAGATGCCAGCGAGGAATCCTTGGAGAGTGAGGGATTGGCCACAGGCGTCCAGGAGGTAGAGATAGCTACAGACCGCCCTGAAATCCCTGAGGAGGAATGTGAAGATGCTACAGGTGGTGGCAACCAGGATGACCAGGATGAACCACCTGACCAAGATGAGAAAACTGACCAAGAAGAAATGGCAGCAATCACCCAAGAGGAGGGAGAAAACACTGAAGAAGGTGAACACACTGTGCAGGATGAAGCTGCTGAGGAGAGCTGCCAGATCATCCCTTTCGAGAATGACTGTATGGATGACTTCATGACATCGCTCTCAGGAAGTCCCTATGAGTTCTTCCCGACTGAGAGCACATCTTTCTGTAGTGAAAGCTACTCTCCTTCTGAGCCAGCTAAAGGCTTAGAGTCAGAGCAGGAACCCCAGTCGGGGGGATGTGCAAAGCAGGACGCGGTGGCTGGAATTTTGGGTTGCCGGCGTGGTTCCCTGCAGGGTGGCTCTGGGGAGGCTCCCTCTGTCCCCAATGTGGTGGTCATGCCAGAGGATGAGGACGCCACAGATGACGCACTCACCAACCCCTATGAGATGGGAGTCGAACTGCCATGCGGGGCTGACCCTGGAGAGGGAGAGCAGCCTGAGACCCAGGACGCATCAGACACCCTGAGTGGTTATGGCCTGAAAGAAGTGAACTCTGATGCTGAGGGCAACCTGGTCCCCATCGACAGGAAGAACATCATGTCTAGGGCTAGGCCCCACTCTGGGAAAGTGCCTGGCTACGTCCCAGAAACTGTCCCGGAAGAAACTGGACCAGAAATTGGCTCGTCAGCCGTTGGCATTGGAGGGGCCACGGAGGAGGCAAGAAAGATGGTTTTGTCCTTGGAGGGGAAGCTGCCGGAAGCCAGCCGGGCCTTGCCGGCAAAGCCCAGAGCCTTCACTCTGTACCCTCGATCATTCTCCGTGGAAGGCCGAGAGATCCCAGTCTCCGTGTACCGGGATCCGGAGGCGTCTGGCTTAGAGGACAATTGGATCAAAAGGAAAGATGACAACCTCTCTCTGCCCTGTGTGATTGGCTCCTCTGGGAGTTTCTCCCAGAGGAACCACCTTCCATCCAGCGGCACCTCAACTCCATCTTCCATGGTGGACATCCCACCACCTTTCGACCTGGCCTGCATCACCAAAAAGCCCATCACGAAGAGCTCTCCCTCGCTCCTGATCGAGAGCGAGCCCCCGGACAAGCACAGCAAGAAGAAGAAGTCATCCTTCAAGCGGTTCTTGGCGCTGACGTTTAAGAAAAAGACCGAGAACAAAGTGCACGTGGATGTCAACGTGTCTTCTTCCAGGTCCTCTTCTGAATCCAGCTACCACGGGCCTTCCCGGCTCCTGGAAATTGACCGCAGGAGCCTCAGTAACTCCCCTCAGCTTAAGGCCAGGACAGGCAAGCTCCGGGCTTCCGAATCGCCCTCCTCTCTCATCTTCTACAGGGACGGCAAGAGGAAAGGCGTCCCCTTTAGCAGGACGGTGTCCCGAGTGGAGTCCTTTGAAGACCGTTCCCGGCCCCCCTTTCTGCCCTTGCCCCTGACCAAGCCCCGGTCCATCTCATTCCCCAACGCCGACACTTCGGACTATGAGAACATTCCAGCCATGAACTCGGACTATGAGAATATCCAGATTCCGCCCCGAAGGCCTGCGAGGGCTGGGACATTTACGAAGCTGTTTGAAGATCAGAGCAGAGCCCTGTCCACAGCAAATGAAAATGATGGCTACGTGGACATGAGCAGCTTCAACGCCTTCGAGAGCAAGCAGCAGAGCACAGACCAGGAGGCGGAAAGGTACCGTGAAATCAGTTTTCTTTGTTGTTGGGCGAGTGGAACTGCCAGAGAGGCGGGTTTAGGTATAGGGGACGGAAAGGACTTGCTTTTTAGCCTCAGGCTGTATTTCTTTCTAGCTGTATGACTCTGGGTGAGTGGCTTTACCTCTCCGAGCGTCAGTGACTTCATCTGTGGAATGGGATTCATGCTACCTCATGGCAGGGTGTTTGAGAAGGTCAGAGTAGATAACCCCTGTGAAAGTATTGTCTAAAATGCCAACTTCGGGACAGATGTGAGCATGTGCATTTGCATTATTTGGGGACTATGTCTCATCTAGGTAGATGGCTTCGCTTACTCCCCTCTGGGAAAGTCACCAAGCGAGAAGGTTCTGGAATCTTGCCAAACTAAATAATCTTTCGCCATCAGGAAAATACCCTAATTTGAGATTGATACCTTTTTATTGTGTAAATATAGACTATTGAAGAGAACTAGAAAAGACAATTTAAGTTGTTTAAAAAGCCAAGGGCGCCCTAAGCTAAATTTCTGAATAGAAGTTGTTAAGAGGAACATCCAAGTTGATTGTGGGGGTGGGGGTGGGGGAGATGACTCACTCACCTTTGAAGTGGGAGTGAAACACTGAAATTATTGACAACAGTGGGGGTTTTCTGACTCCATCTTCCCAAGACTGACTGAATGCTCTTATTAATTATCCCAAGTGGATAATTGTCAAATCTTACTGTTCGTTATACATTGTGGATGCAACTTAAGGGTAATGCATTTCAGTCTCAACCAGTTACACTCTTTGGAGGCACCTGATCTGAATTAACGAAAAGCCAGAATGGTGGTGATTTTAAAGGAAATCCTGATTCTTCCCCCTCGTGCCCACTAACAGCCCAGTCCCACACAGCTGTTGCTGCTAGGGCTTCCTAGGGGACCTACAGTAATGAATTTTCAATTAGCATTAGCTGTCACTGGAGTATAGACACTTAGATGTGTTTGTGTGGTTTATTCTCCTGAGTTTTTTACATGGTTCCCCACCCTGGTTCTGTCTTCTCCCTACTCCAAGCCTGCACAAGGCTACTAATTAGTTCTTTCGAGAATGAAAGGGTTTGTTTGCTGGAGCAGAGGTAAACACCAACAATGCTGGAGGGATTGAGTTTAGTTTGGATAATGTGGATGTGTGTGAACATTTGGGGTGAGAGGGGCAGAGCCGACAAGGTCGTTGCATTAATAGTTATCAGCAGGGTTTGATGAGACCCAACCCTAGCTTGAGTGCCTCGTAGCATTAGTGAAAATAGAGCCAAGCTTTGAAACCATAAAATCTCCGTGCTAGAAAGGATCTCAAAGGGCATATGATCAAACCTCCCACCTCTAACAGGTCTCTCTCTTAACCCACTCTGTACTTGAACTCCTCAAGCCACAGGGAACTCACCACCTCCCAGAGCTGCCCTCTTTGTTGCTAGGTACTCGGATTAAGTTTTTCTGTATGAGGCAAAAGCTACCTCCCTCAAACATCCCTACCCAACTCATGCTGGCTCTTCTTAAGCCAGGTCGGTGAGCCCATTTCCTCTTTTGTATGACAGCACTTCAGACATTGAAATTTGCTTCTATAGAATCACAGAATTCTATAGCTGGAGGAGAACTTCAGACAACATTTGGTCTTGTTACAGAGGAGGAAACTGAGGCACAGAGAGGGAAAGGGACTTGCCTAAAGCCTCTCAGCAATTTAGTGGAGAAATCAGTTCTAGAACTCAGATTTCCTGATTCCTGGTTCAGGAATGTGCAGTGAATTATGCTAAGGGATGCCGGGTCTGACTGTGCATGCTGCACACTGAACAACGCCTGGCCACGTTCACCACATTCACCTTTGGTGCCCCCTGGGGCTGTGTGATGCACAGGCTACTTGCCATATGCATGTTGCTTTGATCTGTACTTTTCCAAAAAAACAAAACAGAATTCCTTCACTGAACTAATGTGACAATAAGGAATAAAATACCCAACAAAATGCGAATGCTACCATATCTTGACTGCTTTCTGTGTGCTAGGCACTGTGCTAGGTGCTTTCTCTGCATTATCTCACATTTGATACTACAGCCTGGGGTCTTGGTTGAATATCCTGAACTGTCAGGCCCTGAATTTTGAAAGCATTGGTGCCCTACTCTGGTACTGTTTCACCAAAGGCCAGACTGACTGGGATAAATCTCCTGTGCAGGAACCACATCCTCTTGGACATCAGTCAGTGAGTGAGCAAAGCTTTCTTCCGTTTTCCTGCATGAAACAGATGGGAGTAGAGGGGGAGGAAAATCCCCGCTTTGGGCTGGAACAGGTCTGGGCAAGGGAGGTTTCAGACACATCAAATGGAGAGGCATGAGGGGCAGCCATGGGGGTGGGGGACCCCACTGCTGCTTCGCCTGAATGGAAGCTTTGAGAATTGAGTTGGAGGGGAGCTACTGGTCTGAGACATGTGCCCAGGGGTGCTTCCGGTTGGACGGGGACTAGAGAGTGGGGAGACAGTTCCTTCCTCCTTCTGCTACTTGTCCTGCCCCACACTTTGCTAGAGTGTGAGGATCAGAGGCAGAAACCCAAACAAATGCCAACAGTCCTGAAAGAGCGCAGGACAGTGCATTGAGTGCAGCGGGAGACATGGGTTCAAAGCCCATGCTGTCACTGACTCGCTGTGGGATCTTGGAAAGGGCTGGGCCACAGTTTGCTCATTTGTAAAATGGTAAGATTGGAGCCAATCTGTATTTCTCAACCGTTCACCTTTCCTGTAAACACCTTTACATTTCTGTTCTACCACCTATACCCTCGCTTACTTAATATTGTTCTTTAAAGCAGTCCATCTTTTTTGCTTAACAAAAAAATATTTAGAAAGGAATTTTTATATCACTATTGGGAAGTAGAAAAACAGTATCAGTTGCCATAAATAGAAGGCAATTGTACAAATAAGATACAAAGAAAAATAAAATAACAAGGGTAAAGTCTAGCTTGAGGTTATTACTTGCCGAGGCTGTGAGCTGGAGGCCTGATCCCTTTGATAAACCTGGAGAGGTGTTAAACACATCCTGGCACCACACAGAGACTTTCTACTTGACATAATCAGAAGAATTCATAAGGACTGAAAAGGGAATAACTCTCTCATGGTGTGATTCAATGTTATTTAAATCCAAATCCTTTTTTCCACTAAAAGTGCCTCCCTTCTAGAAACAGTAGAGTATATAGGTAATAGAATTCAGAGAGACGTTAGGGACCCCTAAATCAGAACAGCAGCTCAGGGGCTAATGGGTGATGATAAAAGTTTCTTCTATGCAGTTACTTTCTCTGAGATTTGTATACACAGGTAATAACATTTTAGGACCTATACTGAGATTCTTATTAACAGTATTCTATCTTACAATATAAAATTGCACACATTGTTACCTATGTACATTTCCCCCATGGTGTACAAAAGAGCTTTTCCCATTCTTTAGTTTAAAGTGTATCCCCAAACATTTTTTTCCCCCTGAATTGACCCTCATGCAAAAAAACAAAACAAAACAAAAAACCCCGAATGCACTAGAGCTCTAGCCTAACACTCTTGCTTTTCAAATAGGATGTGTTGGTTGGGGGAACCTAGCCTTGACTTCTGAATATCCCATGGCACTTCCGTGTGTGGGTTATGCACCAGGAGCTTAATAAATGTACGTTGATGACCAGAGGTTTTATGATTCTATGGGAGTTGGTGATTTTGAGCTTCACAAGGGTTCCAGAAAGAACTATCATTTATTAAGTGCCTATATTCAGCAACACAGTGCTAGGTGCTTTTAATACATTTTTTAAATACCCATTTAGTGCAAAACACTATAAAAACTGGTTTGTCCTGAGTGTCTCGTTTAAAGCTCCATAATTGTTTTTGTTTTTTGCATGATGTTGAGTCTACCTTGGTCCCAGCATTCTACATTAGCACAGAACCCTGACGCCACTTTTCTCAAACATTTCATTATGAAAATATTCAAACTTACAGAGAAAAGAGTTTTTACAGTGAATGTTGGTATGCCCACCACCTAGATTATACCATTAACATATTGCCACACTAACTTTTTGCCATCTCATTCTGTCCAGTGCTCTCCACCTGTTAATGCATATTGTTTTTGATGTATGTATGGCCACTTTTTATGTTTACTGATGAGGATACTGCAGCCCAGGGAGAGCCTGTGAGAGCACAGTGGTTAAGCATATAGACCTTTCAGCCAAGCTGCCTGTGTTTCTGTCTACACTCCACCACTTACTATGTGTGTAACCTGAGATAAGTTGCTTACCTCTGTCTGCCTCAGTTTCTTTATCTGTAAAAGGGGATGATACACCTGCCCTATAACGTCATTGAGACTACATGAGTTAATACAGAACATAGGGAAATGATCAGTAAGCATAAGCTGTTGTTAGGTGACATGATTAATGTCACGTAGTGATGGATGCAGGATCTGAATTTGATTCCAGAGGCATAGGTGGAGAATCTGGTCCCTGTGACTGTGGGGGTGTCTCCCTATCTCTGTCTGTATCTCAGGGCTGCTCTTCTGTACATGTTTGACTCAGTGTTCAGGACACCACATCAGTAAAACTGGGACCATGAACTTGTGAGCTCGGCTGTGGGGTGTGGTGTCAGCATTACCTCTGACTCCACCATGAGATAGGGTCAGCTCTGCAGAGAACAGTCTGAGAAGTATTGATGTGTAGTCATAACACATCAAGGACACCAAGGCGGCAGGACCAGGGGTTTTGTGATTCCATAATCCTAACGGGAATGCTGTCTCTGTGACTCCAATGATAGTTATGGTTTCACTTGTAATTCACGATTAGTAAGGCACATTAGGACTTCCCGGTCCCCATTTTCCAGGTGAGAAAACTGAGGCCCAGTAAAGTGATATAAACTATCCTCTGTCACACAGGTAGTAAGTAGCCAAACCGAGATTCGAACCCATTTTTCTGACCTTCAGTCCCGTATTCTTCCCATTACCCGTCTTCTGTTGTGGCAAAATGTTAGC